CGCTCTTCCGATCTCTACATACTGTAGTCTGTGTATTCATGCCTTGTAGATAACGAAAAAGTACAAAACAAATAAATATCAACCTTTTGAAAATGACAGAGTACTTTGTTTGCGTGCGAACAATTGCGCTGTGTAGTCTGAGAGTGTTAGCGTCATGCCTCGCGTCATGCCTCGTGTCAAAGATTTTTCGAGGCTGGTTTCCATATAATTCGGCCGGAGCCGGAGATGAAAAACCGGAGTTTGCACAGCACTAATTCACAATGTATATTACAGCGTACGGTAACACATGTATACATTGGTAAAATAAATCATGAGTGTGAAGGAGTTTGTATATCTGATACAAAATCATGCTGATTTACACAAACTTTAAGTTTAATACATCGAATACAGAGCCTGAAATAATTTTAAAATTTGTCCGGAAAAACTTCCGATCAAAACGAAATTTGACCGGAAATTTGCAAAATTGACCGGAATTTTTTTAGTTTAGTTTGAACAAACTCTGTCAAGCATGCAGACGTGCACTGAGTAAATCACTCTACTTGCAATAATAAAACACAAATGTTTAATTCTGAATTGCTTATTGGAATAGTTATAGTGAATAATAATTTAATCACGCCCGCCGACGCTGTTTTTATCTTGACCCGACAAGCTGGAAGATATTAAAAACAATACGTTTCCTTGATTACTTTATATTAGCCTAATATAGATAATCCAAACTAACAGATGGTACTCACTGTGCTGAGCGCCGACCCGATCATTAAGAAAACATTTTTATTTTTCTCAAAATTTGGCCGGACAAAATTTCCGATCATTTCAGCATTTGGTCGGAAAAATCGGAATTTGGTCGGAAACCCGCCGGCCGCCGGCCGTTATTTCAGGCTCTGCTCAGGCTCGGTGATTATCATGATTAAAAACCTCGACTTCGTCTCAGTTTTTATTCACCGATAATCACCTCGTCTTCAGCGAATAATTGTTAATTAAAGACCATGTAAAGTCCGTAATGTAAACAAACGCTTTGTTTACATTTTGATCTCAGTTCTACAGTTGTAAAATATGATTAGATATAAATAGTACTGAATTTTTAACACTCTTCTGGTTCGCTATGCTTGTAAATGAATACAGACTAGAGATTCAATTCAAGAAAGTTCAAAAGATACGAAATATTAATAACATTCCAACGGTCGGGTCCCGACCATTGGAATGTACATGTAAGCCTGCGCAGAACGTATGCGCAGAAGGGACTTTACATGGTTTATGAGAACTCACTTTATACGTTTATGAGAACTGTCAAATAGAACTGGCAGAACGGACTTTACACGTTTATGAGAACTGTCAAATTATTGATCTTTGAAAAGTACGGAGTTTCAAAAAGAGGCTGTTGTTGTCAACTGTTTTTCCCAAGTCTAATGTAAACTTCAATACTATTTCAAAACATTAGATTTTCAAATAAAATGCATATGATGAAACTAAAATGCTAATGTTCTTACTTGGTGCCATAGCCATTGGAGGTGCCGCTCGGGTGGGTTGTTGCTTTGGCGCAGCAACTTTCTTGACTGGAGGTTTTTCTATAAAAAGCATGGAAAACAAAAATTGAGATTGCAATGCATGCAAACTTAGTCTGAACGAAAAGCCAAAAATCAGGGCTTAAAAAACAGGCTACTAATGGGTTTCGTTTAAATATTTTTTGGCAATATTCACAGCAATAACATTATGTAATATAAATAAAACCCATTCTTATCTTTCATGGTAAAAATTATAATCACCACAATGTAATATGAAACAAGCACTGAAGCACACAGGCAGTTGCGATATATCTATATTTTCGATAAATATCGATATTTCAAAAATATCGATGTTCAATATTCCATTTTTCGCATTTCGAAAATATCGACAGTTGTAACTAAACAACTTAATCTTCGATTATTCGGCAATTGTTTTCACCGGTGAAGTTTAGACAACGTGCATATGGCGGCAATTGCAAATTTATGATACAAGTGTGTGGGCAATTGAAATTAAAAGCGAAAACAGAGAAACTGTGACCACAGAAGATCACCAAGCAGCGGCATTGAACGCTTGAAAACAATAGTTTTGTGATGACTCATAAACATGGAATTCGCAATAATTTGAATGTTAATGATGTGCATATCAACGCAGGTTTAAAAACAAGGTACCAAAATAACACAGTCACACTTCTTTTTAACTGTTTGTGATGCGTATACATGCAAGTTGACTAAATTACGTTTTCTCATTTGCATAATTCGATATAGTCATTTTTTTTTCGATATCGATATATCGATTTTTTTCAATATTGCAACTGCCTAGAAGCACATCCTTTATCATTCACAGTAAAACTATATAACTATCATGATGTTATTGTTAATATCATTCATGATTATATAAACTCATTTGTGATTTTTAAAAGAAAAAAAAATGAATAGTAATTATTTGCCTTATATCCATTGATGTGTTTTACAAATGAGAATAGTATTTCCCATCCTCAAAACCGTTACAGTCGATTTCAACTTACGTTTCCAAACCAGTCAATCAAATGCCCAGTTTACAAACCCGTTTGTGAATTTCATGATGAACTTTTGAACTTGGCAACAAATTTGCAAAGTTCGGAACAAAGTTCGGAACATTTGAGTGAAAAGTAAGTTGAAATCGACTGTAATAATTTTGAAAAAACATTTCCTGTGACATGAACAGCCGCTTGGCCTAGGGTTAATAATTGCATTACTGGTAGACAATTGGGAACAGTAAAAGTTCTTTATTTCCTGATTGTATTTTAAAACAACTATTTCGAGGCTTCAAAGGTATAACATAATAGATTGTACATACTGGCTTCTTCTGGTTTCTTTTCCCTCGGTCGTTTCTCTCTTGGTACATACGTTCCTTGAAGTTTGGCGATTGCATCTGACTTACTTTTTGCATACTGTATCCTCTAGTGAAGTAATGAATGTTAAATATTGTTCATACACAATTCAATAAGCGATAAATTGAGTGATAAATAAAATAAAGAAGCTCAGCTGGAGCCCTAGGCCAAAAAAATCACTTAAGAAACACAGTATTACTTAACCAACTCTCTGGATGTTACAGGCTAACTGAAATTCCCAATTTCATCAAATTGCCGAATGTTTTAATTAATCTTCCACCCTGTTTTTACTCAAGCGACTTTAATTTCGCCATTTTTTTACAATAGTGAAATGCTCAATATATGAGAGACATGTACATGTTGTTCTAATCATATCAGTAAGATCACATACCATTGGTTTATCATAAAAAGGAAATCCTTGCATGGATCGAAGGGCATTTGTCGCGCTGGCAATGTCTGCAAACGCAACAAATGCCTGACCTCGCATTTTTAACGTCTTCATTGCAACAATATCCAAGATGTTGCCAAACTGGGAAAATATTGCGTACAAAGATTTCTTCAGTTCTAGAAACAAAAGACAAGCAATATTTTCATCAATAACAACAAGTTATACATCAAGCATCGAATGATAGGGATTATTATATGGCTTTTCAAAATTCTCTATTCTGATTGGTTGACAAGCGGTCCGTAAAAACCCATATCCGGAATGTGGTCCGTATTTTCCGTATCTGGACCGGTGTCCCGGATGTCGTTTATCTAACGGGAAATTTTTGCTTTGCAAACAGAAAATTTTTTTGCTTTTTAATTAATTTTCCAATTGTGCATCATTAAAATTTACAGCTAAAAATTTCGAACGAACCAAAATGTTTTTGATTGAGCATGCATGTCTACCGTATATTGTTATTTGTTACCCAGTGAAACTGACGATAGCCAATTTAATGTGCGCAAAAAGCATATGCTCACAGACTCAGTTCAGCCATATAATATACCGATTATTGACCTCGCTTGTTCGGTCTGTACTGTGAATTATCAGCCTCTGTTTTTTGCATGGACCTCATTCCTTCGTCGCTCAGTCCATACTAAAAAACCTTGGTCTAATATTTCACAGTACAGACCTCACGCTCGGTCAATAAGCTGTTATTACTATAGACATTGGTAAATATCAATATTTTGTTGGCATCTCACTCGATTGAATAATAGTTGAAGACTTTTCAACTATAAAACTGATGACTAATTTACTATAGACATTGACACGGCTACACTTGTCAAGATCATCTGCTAGGCTTAACTCATTAAGTTGCAACCAACATAAACAAATTGCAATTTTTATGTACATTTGCAATTATTGGGCATAATTTGTTGAGAGGTCACACCCAAATGTCAGATGCCTAGCGTTTGATTGGCTTGTTTTGTCCTAGTAGCCAAGGGGTCATTCCAGAAAAGATCCATACCCCCCCCCCTACGGAGGAAATCAAAAATAAACCCCTCCCCCCCTTCAGACATCCTTGAATGGTTCATCCTCCCCCTCTCCAGACATCAAAGCCCAAAATTACCCCCCTCCCCTTCGGACATCCACTATCTCTAAATTTTTCTAAAGGCTACCTCGCCGTTTGAAAACGTCACCGAAAATTAGACTACATTCACACTTCGCGCAAGCGCAGTAATGCGGGCAGAATTTATGTGTGTTCACACTACCGCCATTACAGTTTGTTTACAAATTGAATTAGCACTCGTGTAAACGCAAAATATTTCAAATAGACCCAAGAAATTTAACTGAAAAGCATTCGAGTTTACACGTTTCACACAGAGCTATCAAACGCTCCGCCGTTTTCACCTCGCTCCGTTGTTATGGCAAAAGTGACGTGAAAGTTTTCAAACGATTTCGCTCCAGCGTAGAGTGAATTAGCGATGGCTTATTGCGACTTTTCTACGGTGTTTTCAAATAGCTCTGGCGTGGCGGAACACGTGGCGGAACACTTGGCGGCTTCTTGTGACTTGCGAACACACAACACGTGGCAGGTTATGTCGCATAATTTGCAGAAATTCACTTCGAAATTTGTTCAAGTAAAACTCAGACTGAAATTCGATGTAACTTGCGACTGATTGACAAGCGTTGCTATGTTTACTTACATGTTAATGCATTTTTTAGTATTACTGCATTCCTTAACCTCGCCCTTAATATGAAAGCCATTTCTATTTTCTAGACACGCACCTCGCAAGGAAGCTTTATTGACTATATACTAAAACAAATTGTTTTGAGTTCAGTTCACATAGCAGTCTCTTAATTCGAGCAACAGTTTAATAACTATTATTTTTAACACTTGAATAATTCAAACTTATATATACGAACGAAAACTGCAAACTTTACTTTTATATAAATAACACGTGTCAATTTTCGACTCATTCTCAACATGCAGGATACGTAGCGCTGTTACAGCAAGTTAGTTTTTGGTGGCCATGCATGCAAAAGTGAGCCGCTTATTTTGCTTACGAGTTACGTGGACATATAATTATTGCTGTTACATAAACGTTCCGGTGTTCAAGAGCTACATATATAGCCGATAAAAATTGCGTGCTCATTATAATCGCCGATCACATAGCTTTATCACAGTCTCAAACCTTCAGACAAACATATCCACATTCCTCTCCCCCCCCTTCGGACATCCTAACACATTCCCTCTCCCCCCCTTCGGACATCCTAAGACATTTTTCCTCCCTCCCCAATGGGTCATTCCAGAAAACATCCATACCACCACCACGGAGGAAATAGGAAGTTAACCCCACTACCCCCTTCAGATGTCCTAATGCATTTACTATTATCAGAAACAATTTTTTCTCCCCTCCCCCTCCGGACGGCAGAAATTTCCTCCGTGGGAGGAGTATGGATCTTTTCTGGAACAACCCAATCAGGCTTTATTTGCAAACTTGCTTCCACATCATATTATGAACTTTTACATTTTGCAGTTGACAATTTAGTACTGTTTAATACTATACATGAAAATTGAAATTTGTTTTGCATCGGTTGCAATTTGCTAGAGCAATCAGCCGATCAATATTGCCCGCAATAGAACACTGGATTTGATTGCAATGGTTCAACGTTTCGAGACATTTCTGCACCTGTCTGGAATTCTCCTAATGTACCTGGAGAATTCTCTTTTGTAGCCTAGTTCCCATACAAACAAGATGGGATCTCGGCACTTGGTAACCAGCTTGATTTGCAAAGCTAGTCCAGTTTGCCAGACCAACCCTGCTCATACTATGAGCAGCCCTGAGCCCTCAAAATATACCCTGCCTACTGTCAGTGTCAAATTAAATCAAAATATTATATCTTTTCTGTCAAATAAACAATATGTTAGTGAGGTATATCCTTTTATATAAATGCATAACCTAGACCAAACTTACCATCTTTTTTAATTTTTTCATTCAGATTGTTGATATATATCGTCTGATTCGGTGGATTGTCCATTCTACAAACTTCAACCTTCCAAAAATGCTAAACTTTATGCAATAAATAAACTGCTTTTTTCACACACAGATTTCAAAATATCACCAGCTACAGGTAATTTACAAGCCTTCTTTTCCAAAATAATGAAATTCTTTCCAAAATACTTATTTGAACGGCAAGGATTGATGTAGATTGAATCGCAAAACATATGAGAATTTTGCTAAACGTCCACAAAACGCACGTTGGCCGAGCAAACCATGTTTCTTTTCCGAGAGCTGGGGAGGACAATGTTTCCGTGTTTCCAAGAAATATTTTAAAATTTAAAATTTATCAAATTTCCTTCAAAATTTTTCTTCTAAAGCTTTTATATTCAGTTCTATTTTAAATATTTTGAATTTTACTACACGCGTAAAATCCTCACGGCTTGTCAACGAGAAATTTCTCTTCAGTTTTGATAGAGATTTGTCCTAAAGAAAAGTTAGCGCTGGGGTGGGGGGGGGAGAGGGCTCCTACATCTATGGGGGAGTGGCGTCCGGACCCAATATCCTTACAAGTGGAAGCATCATCCTTGCTCCTTTCATTTCATATTACATGAAGTTTCCACTACAGTTCATAATATTGGCCGTTTGGGGTGTTAAAATGGCGGATTTAGGAGTGAAAAGAGTGATAAAAATTGCTTTCATTTCAAGAATATTTTCGCTTCTGTTACAGGTAACATAACATGACTCAATCACGGTACTAGTTATAATATTTTAGATCTCGCGTACAATCTGCTTACAACTTGAGTTGCACGTCTTACTGTGTAAAATCAAGCACACAACTCGCCCGCGTTGTCGCAGACTCGCAGTTGATTTATACCGTGAGTTGTGTGCTTGATTTTGCTTGATTTACGCAGTACAACTCGAGTTGTAAGGGACTGGTTATTAATTACAGGGGGAGGGAGGCCGGTGGAAAAAGAGGGGGGGGGCAGGTATTTTTGTGCATGAAAAAAGGTGGGGCCAAAAATTTTTGGACAATATAAATACCTGCCCTCACCCCTTGTTACCCTGTCGTGCCATAAAACCTACAGATATTAAAAAATAGAGAGCAGTAGAACTGTACACCAACACAACACCATTTATTAAACTGATTTCAACATAAACATGTACATTGGAACAGCCATTGACTCAATAAATGGTAAAGAATATATAAATTACGATACATGTATATAGGCCGGGGGGGGGCAACAACATTTTAACATCTAATTTTTCATTTCCACCAGCCCCCCTGTAATTAATGACCGGTCCCTAAACAGGTTGTATGCAGCAGTTTTGGCAAAAGTTGTGCAATGTAAATAGGCCTTTATATTTTGTCTCTTATGGTATTAAAATTAATATGTATTTATTAATGGAGCTTCATAGACCAGAAAATATTTAATGCACTGTCATTGATTGCATATCAGCCATGCATGCATTAATAGATGGAGTACAATATAATAATGTAGGGTGCATTAGGGCACAATGCAACTAAATAGGTAGACTTTCCAAAGTCCTTTCCAGACCCTTCTATGGCGCGCTTCGCTTGTTCCCTCCCCCACGCCCTCCCTCCCCCATGGTCGACTTGTGGCAAGTCTACTAAATAGGTTGCCAGGACACTTGGGCAGATTAACCCATTAAGCACCAGCACTCTCCAATTGGTGAGTAAAATCGTCTGGCATTAGACAGAGTAAAATAATAAAGTAGGGTGCTTTGGGATGCAATACAACTTAGTTAATAAGTTAACAAGACACATGGGCAGATAATCTGATCCCTTGACAAATAAAGTCATCTGTCATTAGACAGAGTAAATTAATAATACGTAACATAGGGTGCAATGCAACTTAATAGGTTAGTTACCTGACCCCATGGCCGGATTTGCACCTCCCCTGGGAATTTTTGCACCTCCCCTGAAAAGTCGTGCATCTCCCCTTGGGGACGTTTCAATGATGGATCAACGTGAAAATCTTTTGGTTGCTCAGGGTCTACACATCGTAAGAAAGTTTTTCCTGTAAAATTGAAACAGTGATACAGTAGCCATTCGTCTACGTGTCAAGTGCCCTTTTAATGCACTGTTTTGAACAAATTTTGTAGTAATTGTAATGAAGGGCAAAATTGGATGAGTTATACAGTCATTCATTAATACACTGGATACATATGTACACCACACGCATATGTCACGTCATTGACGTTGGCCCGTTCTAAGCACTAACTTTCCATGGGGGTCGTGAGCTAGACCGCTGCACCTCCCTAAATTGTTTTCCACATCCCCCACTATTTCCACCAAAATCCAGCCTTGCCTGACCCATTGGTTCATGTTTTCTTGTTCTAGAATGTATCAAACAACCTACTCGTCGACTACGACACTTCGGTGGAACACTACCCCTGTCACCCTAACACCACCAACAGACCATCGCACAAACAAAATACCATCATCGACCAACTCATCTCGTCAAGCCTCGACGGGCTCTCAAAATGGGACGCTGTATACTTCCTTGATATTGCACGAAATGGCTACCAGTACGAACAGAACATGGCCTTTTTTCCTCTGTTTCCTCTAAGCGTTCATACTTTTGGACTTATCTTAACACCCTTAAAACTTCTACTAAATCTTAGTGATAGATCGAGGCTCTTACTTTCAGCAATGTTTGTTAATACCGTTGCATTTACAATAGCTGCTGTTGGTTTGTACAAACTAACCCAGACTATATTTCACAGTTCAAAGCTAGCTCAACGAGTCGTGGTCTTATTCTGTTTCAATCCAGCAAGCGTATTTTTCTCAGCTGCCTACTCTGAAAGTATCTTTGCGATGACACAGTTTTGGGGCATGTTATTTCTCGAACGAGATCACCATCTTACCTCGGCTCTTATATTCGCCCTGGGAACAACGGCACGGTCAAATGGTTTAATTTCATGCGGGTTTATTGGCTACAAATGTCTTCAAGAAATAACCCCTTTATACCGTCTATTCATGCTAAAAGGCGAGCGAATACGACCAAAGACTGTGGTTTTAAAGTCTCTAAAAGTTACATCCTTTTTATTCATAATTATTCTGCCATTTTTGCTATTTCAATATTACGGTTACCATTTGTTTTGCAAAAATCCTCAATTTTCCCCTTGGTGTGATCATTACCTACCCATACCTTACTCCTACATACAGAAACATTACTGGAACGTAGGATTTTTGAAATACTACGAATTAAAACAGGTGCCAAATTTCGTCCTTGCCTCGCCTGTCGTGGTTTTGTCAGTAGCTGGTGTTTATGAATATTTGGCACGTCAAACCAAGAAAGATATTTTGTCCTTGGGGCTTTGGGTGGTAAAGAAGACGAATTCTTTGAATATCTTTGTTTATGTGGTTCACTTGGGATTTCTGTTGGCGTTTGGTATCGCTTCGATTCATGTTCAGGTGAAGTGGTACATTCTATTTACTGTGGCTATGCAAAGTACCCTTATACAATGTTTCCTGGTTTGCCCACCTTTGGGAAACATGGCTAGGAAAAAATGTTTCCTGGTTTGTCCACCTTTGGGAAACATGGCTAGGAAACAATGTTTCCTGGTTTGCCCACCTTTGGGAAACATGGCTTAGAAACAGTGTTTCCTGATTTGTCCACCTTTGGGAAACATGGCTAGGAAACAATGTTTCCTGGTTTGCCCACCTTTGGAAAACATGGCTAGGAAACAGTGTTTGTCCATCTTTGGGAAACCTGGCCAGGAAGCAATGTTTTTTGGGAAACACAGTGGCGTAACTACTATGGGCGCGGACCGGGCGAACCCGGGGCCCCCCAACCCCAATGGCCCAAATGAGGGCCCCCAGGTTCAGGCTGTAGAGCAAAAACATTGGCCAGGGCCTCTGATATGTCACAATGTCGTTTTCTGACCATCAGAATCTGTAAAATCTCACCCCAAAGTCGGGGAAATGCCATTTCAGAGCTTCTAGATTCAACAATTTTCCGGGTGAGCATGCCCTGAACCCCTAGAAAACTTGTGCATATACGGCGCTCAACTCGTGCCTTTGGCACTTCTACTAGGGGGGGGAGCCTTCGAAACTTTTGAACCGGGGGCCCCCTGATATAACGTTACGCCACTGGGGAAACATGGCTATATATAGGAAACAATGTTTTCTTATATATTTTTCAGGTAGTGACTCGCTTCATTTTGTCTTCATCTCCAATGGTCTACTGGATAGCCGTATCCTGGGTAACACCGCCAAGTCGTGACGACAGCAAGATTCATTCTAATCTCAAAGCAAACTTTGTTTATATCTATTTTCTCCTATTTTACTGCTTGGGATATTTACTTCATTGTAATTTTTACCCTTGGACATAGTTTCTAATATGAAACATGAAATTCTTCTTGTATCTGCCCCGTACCCAGACGCCCCTTCGCCCATCTATTCCCACTACAATACTTCATGTAAACTCGTCCTATGCGCATCACTGTTTTTTTCAGTGGCGAAGCCAGCCAAAAATTGTTTGTCATGCTTCGAGCGGCGAAGGTGCGAGGCTTTCTAGGGGAGTCTGGGGGCATGACCAGTGGCGTTGCTGGGTAATATTTTTCTGGAGGGGCCATGCAGTGGGCTGTCAACCAATATGCGCCCCTATAATGTTACGCTTGATAAACGAGGGCCGAAGGCACGAGCCGACCGCCGCAGGTGCGAGACTTGTCTAGGGGGGTCCGGGGGCATGCCCCCCCCGAAAAATTTTTGAATTTAGGGTCTCTGAAATGCCATTTCCTGGACTTTGGGGGAAGATTTGACAGAAATCTGATGGTCAGGAAGCGGCCTTATAACGTGTCGAAATTTGCAATTTGGTTAGATTTTAGTTGTAGTACTTAAATTATGCAATGCTAAGTACTTCCAGCGATTAATCTAATCCCAATTCTATTCTCTACTGATCTAGTGTTCTGAATACATTTACAACTTACAGCTCTTTTATACAATAACACACGGACCCCACGCATATATGCATTTTAAGGTTTCCTTGCCTGGTTTCCTGGCTGCCAAAAGGGCGTGTTTCAGCATTATTTCATTACTCACATTACTCAAGTGATGTTTCTTGCGCAAACAACTAAATTGCGTTCACAACTTTACATCAGTTATCATAACTTCAATTATTTAATTTGCGCCGCTTTCGTGATTCGTGAAGCATAATAAAGGGCATAACATAAGGGCCTAATACCAGCAAAAAAGGGCATAATTCGGCGTGATCGCTTCGAAACCTGACCAATATTCTGGTAATGAGACATTGCCTGTGATCACTGATCATGTTTCTATATGAACGATTTCGTGTGAGCTGTGAAGTAGCAAATAAGCAAATACGGTTAGGCAAAATAGTTTGTGATTTAATATACGACTTTGTCACCTATGCGCTTTTATAGTCTGTTTTATAGCCTATAAACACATTTTTTCTTGGCGGAAGTAACTATATTTTTTCGAGAATGCGTTTTTCCCCACCCACTTCCAAAATTCGGCGCCCCCTTTTCATTTTTGCGCCCCCCAAGAATTGCCAGCTGGGGGGGGGGCGTGGCCCCCTGCCAGCACGCCACTGGGCATGACTTCGCCACTGCTCGCCTGAGTTGAGCAGGACTAAACTTCGGGCAAGCCACCCATTTTTCCTGCTTTTGCCTGCATGCAGGCAAAGGCTCGATATTCATTCAAAATAAGTTAAATAACGTTAACTTACATAATGCGCAACGTGCTGAAGTTAAGAAAAAATAAGAATATATATCAAGCTGCATGGATAAAAGTGTTTTCTTTTAAAAATTATATGCGTAAAAAAATCATCTGAAATTTTGTATGTCATGCTCAGCAGGACAAGCAGGACATCTGACTTCGCCACTGGAACTCTTTTTTTTACAAAGAGACGCCTGGGTACGAGGCAGTTCTTGTATCATGAAGAAGTTGTATATTATAATCCGGAACAAACGCTGTGTAATTTGTAAAAAAATATAATTTTTGCCTGGATTACAATTTACAAATCTTCAATAAGTCTATTAAACAGTACTTAAAAAACTCGTTAAAAGTTCATGAGGAAAACACAGAGAAAAATGATAAGCGTGTCGTATCTTTATATGTGATAGAGATTTAAAACATTCGCAGTGCGTGTTTTATGTGACTAAAGATACTTAGGTACTCGGTTTCCCCTCGTATCTTCATATGGTGCAAGTAAGGATAATATAAGCACATCCACAACTTACTACTTACTTCATTACTTATATCTGATAAAGCACTCCTGCTCATATTTTAAATAATACTTAGGGGTTTGTTGATTAATATAAAAACTTTTAGCAGAGTGCTCAATGGATGTCCAAATCATAAATAAATTTAAGTACAACAACTCAACAAATTCCACTAGGGCTAGACATCTTTGTTACTGTTTAGCTTCGTTGTACTTGAATATCTTGCTGCTATCTTCATTTGCAAAGTTATAAATTTGTAACATATCAACAGTAAATTCCAGAGTTCACGGAATTTGGCCGACCTTAGCTTAAACGAGGTCAAGTGACGTGTTTTATTTTCACTTTGAACGTTTGTTACAAATCAATTCACTAACATCCGATCATTACTTCCGCATTTTACATGCAAAGACACGTCGTCTCACTTCAAACCTCTGTTTTACAGCTCTGTATTTAAACCTTCAATCAGCTTCATCAATCCCTGATCATGGCTTCACGATATGATGATTGGCAATCAAGTAAGAAAACAGTCTTACAAAGAAACGCGTATATGTTTGATAACGAATTGATGAGCGATGTATCTTTCACTTGTGGGGAATCAAGTCGCATATTTCATGCACACAAATACGTGCTCGCTACGAGCAGTGCTGTGTTCTTTGCCCTGTTATACGAGAATTTAGCCGAGAAAGAATTTCCCATTTGTATCGATGACGCGGAAGAAGAAAGCTTCGAAGAGTTTCTGCGATTTCTGTACACTGACGCTTGTAAAATAACCGCCGAGAACGCGATAGGTGTTATGTATTTGGCTAAGAAGTATCTCGTTTCGTCTTTGGCGGAGAAGTGTTGCGAGATTCTAGAGGCAAGCATCAAGCCTGATAATGCCTTCGCGGTGTTGAAGCAAGCGGTGCAATTTGAGGAAAAAGAGTTAGAAGAAAAGTGCTGGAATATTGTTTCGGAGAAACCTCAGGAATGCATCAACTCGGAAGCGTTCTGTGAAATCGGATCATCTACGCTCAATGCTATTCTAAAGAAAGAGACGTTATCGATAACAGAAATGGAATTGTTCAAAGCAATATTGAAATGGGCCGATAAGGAATGTGAAAGACAGGGTTTAAATATCGAACATGATAAAACGGCAAGAAGGCGCATCCTAGGAGATAGTGTTTATGAAATTCCTTTCCTTGCAATGTCAGAAGAAAACTTTGTAAAATATATCTCTCCCACTGGAATACTTACAGCCATAGAAATTGTGTCCATTTCGCAAAAGCTCTACGGACTAGATGTGGAAGGCTTGAAATGGAAGGAACATCGAAAGAGGCAACCATGTATAGTATGTTTCAGTAAATTTGACCCTAGTAATAACGGAACGGGTTGGACTTACACCAGTGGATGTTCCGATGCTCTTGCCCTGGTTGTCAACAAAGCTGTTCTCTTTCACGGTGTTCGCTTGTTTGGTTCCAATGGCGGCCAATACGAAGTGAAATTTACGATTAAGGATAAGAATGTAACAGGGTCCTACACTTCAGAACAAGACAGTGACTGCGTGCCTGGGTATGACGTCATGTTAGCCAAACCAATCCCTCTCCTGCCAAATGAAGAGATCACAATAATTGCGACAATAACAGGACCACATTCTTACCACGGTAACAGTGGAAAATCATCAGTGACTATCGATGACATTATTGTAACTTTTAAAAACGCACCTACTGGCTTAAGATCCAATGGTACGAGCAAAACTCAGGGTCAGTTCTACAAGATTTTTCTTTCTAAGCTGTAGTTTTGAGAATATTTTGTGACTTGATATAAATTAATTTAAATGCATGGCTAGTATTACATGCTGTATGGGTCATACAATATATAATACTATAGCCATTTATGATGCTATAAAATTGAAATTTTTGGACATCTTGTTCGATAGAACTGCCGAAAGTATATTTTTTTGAGATTTTCATCCATTTTTAGAGGTAACCAGCAACTGCACATGCTCCTGGTCAGGTCTAAACATGTCTTTAGAACACCAGTAGATAGCATATCTCAGACCGTATACAAGGTGTCCCAAAACCCCCAAAACTATGCCCCAGCACTAAGCTGAATGCAAAGATGCGTAAAATAAATATTGACAGGGTGCACATATTTAATGTTGACTGACTTATAATATTAAGAAATTAAAATATCTTCTTTGTAAAGTGCACGATTTTCTGCTCTCAGGAATTTAAAGCAGCTTCTTAAACAGTTTCTTTATGCATAAAATTTACTTATGCCAAACTTTTATGCACTTGTGGATTCAGCAGAGTGCTGAGGCATTCGAATTCTAACAATACGTTATTTCAATAGTTTTGGGGTTCTTTGGGACACCCTGTAGATTTGAGCTGTTGGAAGGCTAAGGTTAAACAAGTTAGTGTCTGAGTTACGGGTTGTTTACCATTTACATGGAAAACCCATCCGGTTTGAAATTGTGCTAATGGTAAGCAAAATTTCGGATAGAAAATCTCATTTGGATTATGTGCTTTCAATTTAATAATTTCAATTGTTAAATCGAGAAAAGCCTGGAACTGGTGAAAAAATAAAAAATATGTAAATGGAACAACATTTACCGGTTGAAACTTTCCAATCGGTAAGAGAGGACAACCTTTCCAAACAAACCGTTTATTCCGGAAAAGTTCCGGTTGGGCCGTCGAAATATGCTTGTTCCATTTACTTTCCGTATGGAATCACCGGAATTTCCATGTAAATGGTAAACAACCACGGACTTACGGTATTTACATATGCCATATACCATGCAAGTATTTAACTGAAGATTCAGTTTATCCACAGTATAATGCAACGCTGTATATCCAAAAATCTCTTTCAGAAAACGCACGAAATGCTATCCTTGAGGTGGAAAAATACAAAATTATTTGGGGGAGAATACCCCCAGAACCACTTACTCAGTACATACGACTTTTTTTCACCAACAACCATCTGTCATCTCTCCATACTCAGGATAGTATGGTCACTTTCTGTGGATTGCCCCCCCCGACGAATTCTTGAAAAAGGCCCTGACCCTAAGTGGACTTGGCCCACTATTGTTTATTATCATGATGGCTTCTTTAATTTTAGTTTATGCGTGCAAGGGGGGGGGGGGGGATGGGAAGTAAGGTACCAAATTGCTGATTATGCTGAAAAAATAAAAATGGTGGCCTTGTAAACACGGAGTGATAGCTTATTCTTGTAAATATTGAAATATTTCGGTTGTTTCGGCAGTTTTTATTGAAAATTTTCAGCATAATCAGCAATATGATACCTTACTTCCCGTCACCACCTGCGCGCATAAATTAAAAGCTAGAATTGCCTATTCAGAGATCTGGATTGCGCATCAAAATGAGGCGTTTTACGTTGGGGTAAATTGTGGTTAAATCGTAACATAGAAGCATTAATTATATGCATGTCAAAGTATTGAACTGTTTAATCACTATTTGTGTTTTACCATGGGCTATGAAGATAGCTGTGAAGCTCATTGGAATAACAAGATAACTCATTGTCTATGCTAGTCAACGTTTATTCATAAATCTGGTAGTTCACTGTCATGTGTGTCGTGTATTTTTTGCCAAATCCACAAATAGCAATTTCCAATTTCCCAATTGTTCGAGTCATGGATAGGTAACTTTCCTAAAACATTGCTATTGGTTAGTTGAGCAAAAATACAATACACATGATCATGACGGTGAAGGACCAGATTTATGAATAAACGTTGACTAAGGCCCCGTTTACATGAGACCGGGACGAAGTGAAACCGGAATGAAAATTGAAATTGTCAACATGTTTACATGAGACCGGTACGAGGATCACAAAATCTTCAATTTATTCCCCTTGCCAGGCAATTTTCTTTTTCAGGTGGCTTTTACTAGCATGTGTTGTTCCAATGTCAAGATTACAGCCGAGACAGGTCTGAAATGTATTTGTGTTTACATTCATCCCGGTCTGAATTCATGCCGGTCTGAAGTCCAGAAAGCGGAATGACTTGAGACCGGTCTGAGTTATTTTCGTCCCGGTCTCATGTAAACGTTTATTATAGATAATACTATGACCGAAACGAGATGGTCCCGGTTTGACTTCGTTCCGGTCTCATGTAAACGGGGCCTAACCATAGATATCTTATATACACTAGATAGCGCATCTCATTTAGTAAAATTGAAGCCAAGAATATTCCAGCGGTTACCCCCATTTGAATAGATGGCGGCCATGTTGGTCGTTCCCACTTGCTAATAAACGCTTAAAAACAACAATAGCTTTCATTATTTGAATAGTTTAAAAACGTATTTGGAATAGGGTTAACTTAATGTTTAAGTTCCCTGTTTAGGAAATAGAAAACATACGAATCTTCTCATTTCATGGGAACGACCTGAGACTGCAATCACGGCTTCAATTTTTGAATTGCAGAATAATTAGATGCACTATCTAGTGTATATAAGATATCTATGGGCCTAACACAGATAATGTGTTGTATTGTTATTCTAATGAATTTCACAATCTTCCCTTCGATAGGCTATGGTTTTACTTATAGCCACAATAGAACTGTCATTAAAGATTTTTTTGTCCTAGCATCTTTTGTCTTCTCCCCCACCCCCCACATCCCCCAATCCGAGTCCCTTTTCTCTAAAATATCAGCAAAACATGGGAAGAGAAATGCATGAAGTTCAGAGGCGAGTTTTGATATTCTAGTAACTGAAATTTGCTTTGTTTACGTTCTCAACTGCAACGCTAAACTAAGCATTATCACGTCTTTCAAGCAACGTGAAAGCTTATTGCGACCCAAGTGAAATGTCATTTAAAGTCGTACTTTGTTTTAGCTTTATGTTGTTGTATTTTACACAGTTAGCAACCTTTTTAAATATATTTTATCTTCTGTGTGTAAAGCAAAAATAAAGAAAGCTATACACTTCAGGGAATATATTTTCTCATTTAAAGCGAGTCAACCTTACAGAATCTAATTGCTTTTAAGCAACTTTTTGCAATTTCAAATGACGATTGAAGAGTTGAATATTTTGAAATTCATATTCGCCGAATTCACGTACAGCTACCATAGATATCTTATATACACTAGATAGTGCATCTAATTATTCTGCAATTCAAAAATTGAAGCCGTGATTGCAGATCGACTCAGGATATTCCCATGAATTGAGAAGACTCGTATGTTTTCTATTTCTTAAACAGGGAACTTAAACATTAAGTAATTAAACCTATTCCAAATACATTTTCAAACTATTCAAATTGAAATGATGAAAGTTATTGTTGCCTTTTAACAAAATGGCCGCCATCTATTGAAATGGGGGTAACCGCTGGAATATTCTAGGCTTCAATTTTTCTAAAAGAGATGCGCTATCTAGTTTATATAAGATATCTATGACAGCTACATGTTATAGTTCAACACTGCAATCTATCTCGACGCAGAACGCGTTATTTGGATGCGCAGTGGACACTCTGAATACCATTATTGGATCAACCTCGTACCCAGGACTTCTGCGCAAAGGCTCTTGGTACAAGGTTGTAAATTTGCTATCAACGTTATTGAACAAGCGCCCTACAGGGAATCTAAAAAATCTCATTTGCCAACAAAGATGCGTTCGCACTGCTTGTTCCCAGTTGTTGACAAGTCTGGAACAAGTTGTTATCATCTTGTAACAAGGTTGATGAGGCCAACAGACTCGCAACAAGTTGTTCCAACAAGTCTGATATCGTCTGCACATATGAGTTGTTGACAAGTTGATGACAACACTGAAGTTCGTAGCAACTTGTCACGAACAGCCTGTATATATGATAGGCTTGTAGTTTGTTGGAACAACTCGTAGCAAGCCTGTTGCCGTCATCAACCTTGTAACAAGGTGATAACAACTTGTTCCAGACTTGTCAGGTGGTGACTCGCTTCATTCCATCTTCATCTCCCATGGTCTACTGGATAGCCGTATCCTGGGTAACAACGTCAAGACGTAGTCTGCGATAGCAGACTGATCTCAGCCAACCCCTCCTAGAGCGGTGGAGAAACAGTCTGCGTCTGCGATCAATCCAGACTAATGCCCTACAGTTACGTAAGCAGTATTTTGCATAAATATTCCTCCCCCCGTTGAGCGGGGGAAACTGTATGGCATTACCAGAGTATAATAATTAAAATTACATCAATTTAAGTACGACGACCCAATGCTGAATTCCACTAGTTATCTTTATAAAGATCTTTATAAAGATGCCTATAGTCACTAATTAGTGGACTTTACTTAGTCCTTCTTTATTTATTTATTTATTTATTTACTCAATTTAATTATACATTTTTGAGATTACAAAAATAGTATAATAAGGACAGATTATACAGAACTAATGGTTCCTCACAAGATAAACTCGATTAGGTTAAAATGCGGATGCGGAACGGAACGGATGCGGAAAGGAACGGATGCAGAACGGAACGGATGGGGTTAAAATGGGGAACGGAACGGATATGGGATTAAAATGCGGAACGGAACGGATATGGGATTAAGATGCGGAACGGAACGGATTTGGGATAAAATGCGTCATTTTAAACCTTACCAAAAATTTTAACCACAAATTGAGTTTTTTTCGCCTCTTTTTTAACGTTTGTATGTTTTCGATTATATGTTTTTTTGCAATGGAATGCAACGTCGTAGTGCTTATTATTCCTAACATATCTTATACAATTATTTCAATTAAAGTTGTGACTGAGACAACAGTCAAATGAGCAATATGAGCGCCAAAAGGTTGATGGGAATAATCATATTAAAAATAACAATTTAAATTTGGAGTTGTTGCGTGTAGCATCACAATAAATAAAAAAAATTGTATCAGTTCCACGAGGCACAACGTTTCTGATGTGTTAAGCCTGTTTCAAATGTGCCGAACGCATTAAAAACAATAGATAACTCGAAATTTAAATTGTTTCACTAACCACCAAATTTTGCATATTTTAAAACTTAATTTGCATTGCGAGCTGTCGCTAGAAGTATCCCCACGAGGCTACTGACATGCTAAACTTATTTAATATGATTATTCCCATCAACCTTTTAGCGCCCATATTGCTCATTTGACTATTGTCCCAGTCACAACTTTGATTGAAATTATTGTATAAGATATGTTATGAATAATAAGCACTACGACGTTGCATTCCATTGCAAAAAACATATAATCGAAAACATACAAACGTTAAAAAAGAGAAGAAAAAACTCAATTTGTGGTTAAAATTTTTGGTAAAGTTTAAAATGACGCATTTTAACCCCATATCCGTTCCGTTCCGCATTTTAACCCCATATCCACTCCGTTCCGCATTTTAACCTCATATAAGATAAACTGCGTACTTGAATACCTTGTTGCTATCTTCATTTGCAAAGCAATAAATTTCTGCAATATCATCAACGAGCAAATAGTTGCATTAACATAATTGCGTGAATTAAATTTTAAGGAAGGAATTTCATAGCTCACGGAATTTGCCGACGAGGTCAAGTGACACATTTCATTTTCACTTTGAACGTTTGTTACAAATCAATTCATGTGGTCCGATGTTTACTTTCGCATTTTACATGCAAAGACGCGTTGTGTTGCTACACAGTGGTTGCTACAAACCTCTGTTTTACAGCTCTGTATTTAAACCTTCAATCAGCTTTATATATCACTTCATGATCATGACTTCACGATATCACGACGATTGGCAATCAAGTAAGAAAACAGTCTTACAAAGAAACGCGTATATGTTTGATAACGAATTGATGAGCGATGTATCTTTCACTTGTGGGGAATCAAGTCGCATATTTCATGCACACAAATACGTGCTTGCTACGAGCAGTGCTGTGTTCTTTGCCATGTTTTACGGCCGGGAATTTAGCCGAGAAAGAATCTCCCATTTGTATGCCAGACGCGGAAGAAGAAAGCTTCGAAGAGTTTCTGCGATTTCTCTACACTGACGCTTGTAAAATAACCGCCGAGAACGCGATAGTTGTTATGTATTTGGCTAAAAAGTATCTCGTTTCGTCCTTGGCGGAGAAGTGTTGCGAGATTCTAGAGGCAAGCATCAAGCCTGATAATGCCTTCGCGGTGTTGAAGCAAGCCGTGCAATTTGATGAAAAAGAGTTAGAAGAAAAGTGCTGGAATATTGTTTCGGAGAAACCTCTGGAATGCATCAACTCGGAAGCGTTCTGTAGTATCGGATCATGCACGCTCAATGTTTTTTTAAAGAAACAGACAATCTCATTAACAGAAATGGAATTGTTCAAAGTAATATTGAAATGGACCGATAAGGAATGTGAAAGACAGGGTTTAAATATCGAACACGACAAAACGGCAAGAAGGCGCATCCTAGGAGATAGTGTTTATGAAATTCCTTTCCTTGCAATGTCACAAGAAAACTTTGTAAAATATGTCTCCCCCACTGGAATACTTACAGACACAGAAATTGTGTCCATTTCTCAAAAGCTCTGCGGATTAGATGTGGCAGGCTTGAAATGGAAGGAACATAAAAGGAGGCAACCATGTATACTCAGTTTCAGCAGATTTGACTCTGGCAATGTTAAGAGGAACGAGCTGAACGCCTGGCTTTACAATGGGAATTCAGATGCTCTTACTCTAGTTGTCAACAAAGCTGTTCTCTTTCACGGTGTTCGCTTGTTTGGTTCCGATGGCGGCCGATACGAAGTCAAATTTACGATTAAGGACAAGAATGTAACAAGGTCCTACATTTCAGAACAAGAGAGTGACCGCGTGCTGGGTTATGACGTCATGTTACCCAACCCAATCCCTCTACTGCCAAATGAAGAGATCACAATAATTGCGACAATAACAGGACCAAAGTCTTACAAAGGTACCAGTGGAAAATCATCAGTGACAATCGATGACATTGTTGTAATTTTTAAACATTCTGGGTTAAGTGTCAATGGTACAAATAAAACTGATGGTCAGTTCTACAAGATTTTTCTTTCCGAGCTGTAGTTTTGAGAATATTTTGTGACTTGATAAAAATTAATTTGAATGCATTCGCATGGCTAGTATTATATACTGTATGAGTCATACAGTGTATAATACTATAGCTATTTATGATTCTATAATATCGAAATTTTTGGACACCTCCTTCGATAGAACTAATAGTATAGATGGCTTTTTTGGAGATGAAATTTTTGAACGCAAATTTATATCCATTCTTAGACGTAACCAGCAACTGCTCCTGTTCAGATCTATACATATGTCTATAAAAATTTCTTTCGAAAATTCCATCTCCAAAAAACCCCGTGTGCTGTACGAGATAATGCCTTATATATTGAAAAAACTGACCGTCATTTGTCATATTTACATTAATAATATAATTTTCTGTGTAGTATTAATATGAATCCTGGGTTGATGTGCAAATCAGCCAATTTATAAAGGCGCCTATAATACCATGGCCTTTTTTAAGATATAAGCTGGGGAGTGGGGCATTTTCATCAGCCCGCCTTTATGCTCCCGTCCCCCCACGAGTCAATATTTCCCCTACCTCTAGTCAGGAGTCCCTTTTCTCTAAAATATAAGCAAAACATTGCACAAAAAATTTAATAAGTGAGGTTTGATATTCTAGTACTTGAACCTTGCTTCGTGAATCTTATGTCATGTCTTTTATGTTCAAATGATTCAATACCTTTTTAAAAATGCTTAACATTGTGTTGTAAATACCTGAGATTTAAAAAATTCCTTAGGCCATGGCCTTTTTTAGAATTTGTCTGAGGGGGAGGGGGCACCTATAGAAAGGGACCATACAATGCTGAGTATGGATAGATGACAGATGATTGTTGGTGACAAAAAGTCGTATATGGAGTAGTATAGGCCTATAGGGGGTTTGGGGGTATTCCACCCCTAGGATTGCATTTCGTGCGTTTTCTGTCAGAGACTTTTGGATATACAACATTGCATTATACTGTAGATAGACTGAATCTCCAGTTAAGTACTTGCATGGTATGTTTATGTACTGAAATACCACAACTCAGTCACTAACTTGTTTAGCCTAGCCTTCCAACAGCTCAAATGTATAGGGTCTGGAATATGCTATCCACTAAGTAGACATGGTCTGCTATTATTTGTTATCATGATGGCTTTGACAAGGTGAACCAACCAAAAGTGCCAAAATTACTGAATGATGCAATCTTTAAAAATTTTAGCAAAATTTTTCTAAAAAAAATTTCTTACTAGTACGAATTCTTTAGTTTGATGACTTTCATTTTTAATGTTCAAATTGCTATTTATTTCTATATACATGTAAAATCTTCTCCATCATATTTTCCCAAGAATTATACAATATTCTGCGTGCTACATTTAAAAATATTTAGAAGCTATTTAGACAACTGCAAAACTATGGATAAAGTGCTTGTGGGCTAACCTTTTCCCAATTCTACACTCTCGCAAACAAGAACGATAGCAGTAATTAAGCATGTTCGAAAGCCAATAGTAATAGTATAATAGGCAATGCCATCTTTTAGGTTATATATGCAGGGGGGGGGGAAGTAAGGTACGTATCAAATTACTGATTATGCTGAAAAAATAAAAACTGTTGCCGTATAAACACGGAGTGATAGCTTGGACTTGTAAATATTGAAATATTTCGGTTGTTTCGGCAGTTTTTATTGATAATTTTCAGCATGATCAGCAATATGATACCTTACTTCAAGTCCCCCCCCCCCCCCCCCCCCCCCCCCCTGCGCGCATAAATTAAATGCTGGAATTGCCAATTGAGAAATCTGGACTGCGCATCAAAATGGCGCGTTCTGCGTTGGGGGTAAATTGTGGTTGAATCGTAACATGGAAGCGTTAAATATATGCATTCGAAACTATTGAAATGTTCAATAATTTTTGTGTTTTACTTATAGCCACAATAAAACTGTCATTAAATAATTTTTGTCCTAGCATATTTTGTCTTCTGTCTTCTCGATCCCCTCCCCAGTCCCGAGTCAAAGTCCCTGTTCTCTGAAGAAAGAAACATCGGAAGAAAAATGAAATTTAGAGGCGAGGTTTCATATTCTAGTAACTGTATTAAATTTGCTTTGTTTACGTTCTCAACACAACGTTAACTAAGCATTATCACGTCTTTCAAGCAACGTGAAACCTTATTGCGACCCAAAAAGTGTTACTAGTTAAAGTCGTACTTTGTTTTAGCTTTATTTTGTTGTAGTTTACACTGTTACCAACTTTTTAAAATGTATTTTGTCTTAATTATGTGTAAAGCAAAAATAAAGAAAGCTATACACTTCGCCTTCGGGGATAATATTTTCTAATTTAAAGCGAGTCAACCTTACGGAATGTAGTGCTTTTAAACACTTTTTTTCAAATTCAAATGACGATTGAAGAGTTGAATATTTTGATATTCATATTTGAATTCATGTCCAGCTACATGTTATAGTTCAACACAGCAATCTATCTCGACGCAGAACGCGTCATTTGGATGCGCAGTGGACACTCTGAATACCATTATTGGATCAACCTCGTACACAGGGTTTCCGAGCAAAGGCTCTGGGTACGAGGTTGTATATTGGATATCAACGTTATTAAATTAAACAAGCGCTCTACAGGGTGTCTAAAAAATCTCATTTGCCAACAAAGATGCGTTCGCACTGCTTGTTCCCAGTTGTTGACAAGTCTGCAACAAGTTGCTACCATCTTATAACAAGGTTGATCATGATGAGGCCAACAGACTCGCTGAACAAGTTGTTCCAACAAGTCTGATATCGTCTGCACGATATCGTTAACAAGCTGATGGCAACACTGAAGTTCGTAGGCTTGTCATGAACAGCCTGTATATATTGTAAGCTTGAAGCTTGTTGGAACAACTCGTACCAAGCCTGTTGCCGTCATCAACCTTGTAACAAGGTGATAACAACTTATTCCAGACTTGTCAGGTGGTGACTCGCTTCATTATTTCTTCATCTCCTATGGTCTACTGGATAGCTGTATCCTGAGTAACTGCGCCAAGACCTAGTCTGCATGCGATAGCAGACTGATCTCAGCCAACCCCTTTATTGAGTCCTTGTACTTGAAAATATTGTTGGTCTCTTCATTTGCAAAGTTATAAATTCGTAAAATATTATCAGCGAGCAAAAAGCTGCTGCATTAACACAACTGCATGATGTTTTTGATGTTGCTCTGAGTGTATACCCACACTGGGCAGACTGAAAGTTAGCCTGACCACGGTGGGAATCGAAAAAGCGACCTTTGGGCGGAGATACTAGTCCAATGCTCTGCCAACTGAGCCCAAGGCCAAGTCTGTTCGAGTAAGTGTAACATCAAAAACATTATATTCACCTGAGTACATAACACCAAAAAACATCTGCATGAAGTAAATTTTAAAGAAGGAATTTCATAGCTCAAGGAATTTGCCGACCCTTAAACGAGGTCAAGTGACCCCGTTTATTTTCACTTTGAACGTTTGTTATAAATCTAAATCAACTCATGTGTTCCAATTTTTACTTCCGCATTTTACATACAAAGACGCGTCGTGTTGCTTCAAACCTCTGTTTTACAGCTCTGTATTTAAACCTTCAATCAGCTTCATATATCACTCCATGATCATGGCTTCACGATATCACGACGATTGGCAATCAAGTAAGAAAACAGTCTTACAAAGAAACGCGTATATGTTTGATAACGAATTGATGAGCGATGTATCTTTCACTTGTGGGAAATCAAGTCGCATATTTCATGCACACAAATACGTGCTTGCTACGAGTAGTGCTGTGTTTTTTTCCATGTTTTACGGGAATTTAGCCGAGAAAGAGTCTCCCATTTGTATCCCGGACGCGGAAGAAGAAAGCTTCGAAGAGTTTCTGCGATTTCTGTACACTGACGCTTGTAAAATAACCGCCGAGAACGCGATAAGTGTTATGTATTTGGCTAAGAAGTATCTCGTTTCGTCTTTGGCGGAGAAGTGTTGCGAGATTCTAGAGGCAAGCATCAAGCCTGATAATGCCTTCGCGGTGTTGCAGCAAGCCGTGCAATTTGATGAAAAAGAGTTAGAAGCAAAGTGCTGGAATATTGTTTTGGAGAAACCTCAGGAATGCGTCAACTCGGAAGCGTTCTGTAGTATCGGATCATCTACGCTCAATGCTTTTTTAAAGAAACAGACAATCTCATTAACAGAAATGGAATTGTTCAAAGTAATATTGAAATGGACCGATAAGGAATGTGAAAGACAGGGTTTAAATATCGAACACGACAAAACAGCAAGAAGGCGCATCCTAGGAGATAGTGTTTATGAAATTCCTTTCCTTGCAATGTCTCTGGAAAACCTTGTAAAATATGTCTCCCCCACTGGAATACTCACAGCCACAGAAATTTTGTCCATTTCGCAAAAGCTTTGCGGATTAGACGTGGTAGGCTTGAAATGGAAGGAATATAAAAAGAGACAACCATGCATACTCAGTTTCAGCAGATTTGACCCTAGTAATAACATAACGGGTTGGGGTTACAGTGGACGTTCAGATGCTCTTGCCCTGGTTGTCAATAAAGCTGTTCTCTTTCACGGTGCTCGCTTGTTTGGTTCCAGTGGTGGCCGATACGAAGTCAAATTTACGATTAAGGATAAGAATGTAACAGGGTCCTACACTTCAGAACAAGACAGTGACGGCGTGCCGGGTTATGACGTCATGTTACCCAACCCAATCCGTCTACTGCCAAATGAAGAGATCACAATAATTGCGACAATAGCAGGACCACAATCTTACTACGGTAAGAGTGGAAAATTATCAGTGACAATTGATGACATTATTGTAACTTTTAAAGACGCGCCTCTTGGGTTAAGTAAAAATAATACGGACAAACCTCATGGTCAGTTCTACAAGATTTTTCTTTCCGCGCTGTAGTTTTGAGAATATTTTGTGACTTGATATAAATTAATTTAAATGCTTGGTTGGTATTATATGGTGTACGAGTCATACAATATATATAATACTATAGCCAATATGATGGAATAATATCGAAATTTTTGGACATCTCGTTCGATAGACTAATGGTATATAGATGGCCTTTTTGGAGATGAAATTTTTGAACGCAAATTTATATCCATTTTTAGACGTAACCAGAAATTTGCAAGCCTGGAAATAATTTTTGAGGACCTGCCTGTCAAAATGACCAGCACCAATGAATTTGTGCCTGTCATGAAACAAAATGTACTGGTCATTGTACCGGTCTGCCAAAAACATAGGATACAGAATATGCAATTGTTAAAATCATTTTATACATGTATATGTACACAAAACAATGTCAATTATGTCTATAATGAATAATGTTATAACGCTGTTTCAAAGACAAAGTACTGAACTACAAGTCTTCGGGCAAAAAACCTACAAAATCACTAGCTTCACTGTCAGTGTCACTGAAAAGTAAAGCAGCTGTACGGCCAGAACCAGATGAATCTGTACCATCATTAGAAACTTCCATGTCTTCCACATTGTCAGATTCTGAAGCTGGTGGTGCTGGTGTGGTATCAATCACATCATTGATGTCATCAACAGAATCATCAGAATTGGCATCTTTTTCAGACACGTGATAATATTTAACTTTCTTTTTTCTAGCTCTATATTTCTTTCTTCTCTTCTGATTTGGCCGTCTAACTTTCTGACTTTGCCACATCTGAACAACAGGGCTAGCATCAAACGAACCAAGGGGAGGACCTTCCTCCTCAATTCTAAGAACATTTGTTAGCCTCTCTTCGCCTAAAGAACATCTTGCATCACTCTTTGTTCTCTTGAGTTTGGAAAACAGGCGTTCTAGTTTTGCATTGCAAATTGGCACAGAAAACAACAGTTGGACCAAAAGCAAAATGTTCTTCCACTTGGAGGAATACGAGCAGTTAAACAAAAGTCTCCATGTCTTCTTGTAGTTGGCCTTCTCTGACTGAAGAAAGTTTACTGTATGACTTAGCATATCGTGCCACTCTTCAAGAATAGCTTGATTATAGTTGCTTTGACAGAGGCCTTGCTTTAATAAAATAGGACGGAACTTCTCCAAAATACCAGTAATCATGTTATCTGCAAACTCGACTCCGTCCACTTCTGCTAGTAATTTCCAGTGCTCCGTGTTCAAGATCTTCGCTACAGACTCTAATTCAATGCTACTGGCACCTTCCAATCTGGCATCTACAGTAGAATGAATGGATTCTATGACAGTGTTTTTTGAAGCTTTAACATCAGCCGCAGCTTTGTTGAAACTGTGGACTGGAAATTCGATTCCTTGATAAGTACATGTGGTGTCTGTGACTACCAGTTTATTTAAAACATGTTTGACAGATGGAAGGTCTTCAAATGATTTCGACATCAACTGGTCAAGGGATTGCTTGGATCGCTTAAGGTTATGTATTGCTCCAACACTGTCAATTGGATCATCTTGGAATGCTTTAGACAAAATTGCAGCAGGATTGAGAACATCAATAAACAGTGCAACATATAAAAGCATGCGACTAGATTTCCATTTACGTAAATAACCTTTGAGTTTTTGACGATCTGTGACTTCTTTATCACTGCTTAAATGTTCTAAATGTTGCATGTAAACACCATATTTGTCAAGAACAATTCGAAGTGCTGATAACTTGAATGCGATCCATCGTGTTCCAGAAGCACGTTTTGGTTTCACAGAGCCCTCTTCAAATTCATAGTTGAGTAAATCATGAAGTTCTTTCAGTTCGTGCATTTTTTTGGGAGATTTATGATACAGGGAATATAACTTCGTCAGCATATCACCAACATCGTCAAATACTGTGCCATTTAGTGCGTCTTTGACGGCAAGCTCCAGTTTGTGTGCAACACACCATGTGTATACTAGCCAAGGAGCATTTTTCTCCAGAAGTGCTTTCACTCCATTTTTGTTTCCACTGTTCACGGATGCACCATCAGCTCCAAAACCCACTAATTTAGAATACAATTCATTTGGCAAGATCCCCAGTGACTCAAAACTTTGTTCAATTGCACTCGTAATACCTTCTGCGTCTGCCTTCTTTACATCTTTTAGACACAAAAACGAAAGTTTGACTTCTACTTCCTCTGGATTTGACTTAGAGTGGGGATCAAAATACAGCACATAAACGACTTCTTTCTCAGTTACTGAGTTGTCTGTACTACCGTCTGTTAAGACACTATAAAATTTTGCTTTTGTCAAATCTTCATTCAGCTGATGAGCAATAAATTGGGCATTCACATCAATAAATTCACCACATTGTTTTCGGTTATTGTAAACATCACCTAAGTCAACACCATGACGTTTCTCCAGTGTAATTAAATCTTCAAAGACGGTAAATGGCAACTCGTTTTTGGCAACAAAATACGCGATGTCAAACTTCTTAATTGTTTGCTCTAGCTGGGTTTCATTTAACTTTGAGAAACCATCTTCTAGAGTGCGTTGACTGGGATGAGGCCTAAGCGGATTTTCCATATTGCTAGACAATTCACCTTTGGATGTTAAATTCTTAATATAGAGATCGTATGCATGCCGATGACACTTTGTTGCAGCGTGATCTTGTGCGTTAGATAAACGAAGGTTACATGACCCTTGTATCCACGCATTAGAAAAATCTCGATTGTGCTTTATTCTTTCTTCAAACGTTGTGCACACCATGCATTTCATCAATTTGACTTGGCCGTGCCCATTTTCTTCATGATTTAGCCACACAAAAGCGTTGGATGGTGCCAAATCTTCGCTAATCCACTTTTTTAATGTGCTTGATTTTAACGTTCTGTCAGTTTTTTTTCGCTGTGAAAGATTAGCTAAATCTGAACTTCTTTCACTAGTAGTTGCTGCAGATGCTTCACTAGTTGTTGCTGCAGATGTTTCACTAGTTATTGGTGTGGATGTTCCCCTGGAATTACCTTCACTATCATTACTTTTGTTGGAAAAAAAGTCCGTTATTTTCTTCGACATTTTAATTTTTTCGCGGTTCAACAAAAAATTCCCGCCAAAATCGCGAATGACGTTTCCACTTGGAAAACAGTTTGATCATCATTCATCACCAGGATTTTTTCATAGTGGAAACACTGCACAAACATGGCGTCGCGTTTAAAGCATCGTGCATTTTCAATAAACGGGATAATTTTAAACTTTATAGCACAAATAATAGAGAATTTGTCGACAGCAAGATTTTTTATTTTATTTTCGATATTTGGGTTGAATATAAAGAATTTGTTGACAGGAAGGTTATAGTTTAAACACTGAAATGAGCGCCGGACAAAGTGACAGACACAATCAAATTTGTGCCTGTCAAAACACTACAAATCGCGTATTTGTGCCGGTCAATGACCGTGACCGGACGCTTATTTCCAGGCTTGGAAATTTGTCCTAGTCAGATCTAAACATGTCTATAAAAATTTGATTTCAAAACTTCCATCTACAAAAAAAACACATCTACTGTATGAGATAATGCCTTATATATTCAAAAATGACTATCATTAATATTTACGTCAATAAAATAATTTTCTTTGTAGTATTAATATGAATACTGGGTTGATGTGCAAGTTAGCCAATTTATAAAGGCGCCTATAGCAACGCCTTTTTTGACATTTAAGTTGGGGAGGGGGCATTTCCCCCAGGCCCCCTTCCCCACATAAGTCAATATTTCCCACACCCCCAGTCAAAGTTTCTTTTTTCTAAAACATTGGAAGAAAATGAAATTTGATGGCGAGGTTTGATATTCTAGTAACTGAAATTTGCTTTGTGAATCTTATGTCATATATTTTATCTTCAAATGATTCATTATCTATTTAAACATGCTAAACATCGTGTTGTACGTATTTAGTACTATTTACCTTAGATTTTGAAAAACCCCAGTCGATAGTATATCCCAGACTAGGCTCTTGGAAGGCTAGGCTAAACAAGTTAGTGACTGAGTTGTGGTATTTACACTATACCATGCAAGTACTTAACTGAAGATTCAGTCTATCTACAGTATAATCCTGAACGCTGTATATAAAAAGTCTGTTTCAGAAAACGCATGAAATGCAGTACTATAGGGGAGAGAAACCCAGACTCCCCTACTATTTCATACGACTTTTTTCACCAACAACCATCTGTCATCTCTCCATACTCAGTATACAGTATGGTGCCTTCCTGTAGATTGCCCCCCCCCCCCGAAAAATTCTAGAAAAAGGCCCTGGCCTGTAGTTCTTATAGTGGACATGATCTGCTACTGTTTGTTATCACGATGGCTTCGATAAGGCAACTTGGTTAATTACTATGTTAGCCTGAAAACTTTATATTAGCATCTCTATTGCACAAGATACCATTCAAACACGACTTTTTACAAAAAAAATACGGAATGATTAGTGCAATCTCTAAAAATTTACTAAACTTTTCCAAAATTGACCAAGTTCTACCAAATGTTTATAATAGAATACTAGTGTCGTTATAAAACGTTGAAAATAGAGTATACGATTTTTTTAGTCTAGTACTGACTTTCATTTTTAATGTTCAAATTGCTATTTATTTCTATATACATGTAAAATCTTCTTCATGCAGAATACATCATATTTTCCCAAGAATTATACAATATTCTGCGTGCTACATTTAAAAATATTTAGGCAACCGCAAGACTAGATAAAATGCTTGTGGGCTACCCCTTTTCCAATTCTACGCTTTCGCAAATAAGAACGACAGTAATTAAGCATGCGAGTTTTCGCAAGCTAATAGTAATATATGGGCAATTCAAGCTTTTAGTTTATGCGTGCAGGGGATGAGAAGTAAGGTATCATATTGCTGATTATGCTGAAAAAATAAAAATGGTGGCCATGTAAACACGGAGTGATAGCTTATTCTTGTAAATATTGAAATATTTCAGTTGTTTCGGCAGTTTTTATTGAACATTTTCAGCATAATCAGCAATATGATACCTTACTTCCCGTCACCCCCTGCGCGCATAAATTAAAAGCTGGAATTGCCAATTGAGAAATCTAGACTGCTGCGCATCAAAATGAGGCGGTCTGCGTTGGGGTAAATTGTGGTTGAATCGTAACATGGAAGCATTAAATATATGCATGTCAAAGTATTGAACTGTTCAATCACTATTTGTGTTTTACCATATAGCCTATGAAGATCTGATGGCTGTGAAACTCATTAGAATAACAATAAACTCGTTATCTATGTTACTGTTAGTCAACGTTTATTCATAAATCTGGTAGCTCACTGTCATGTGTGTCGTGTATTTTTGCCAAATCCACCAATAGCAATTTCCAATTTCCCTATTGTTCGAGTCACGGATAGGTAACTTTCCTAAAACATTGCTATTGGTTAGTTGAGCGAAAATACAATACACACGTGACGGTGAAAGACCAGATTTATGAATAAACGTTGACTAACACAGATAATGAGTTCTATTGTTATTCTAATGAGTTTCACAGCCATCTATCTTTCACAGCCTTCGATAGGCTATGGTTTTACTTATAGCTACAATAGAACTAGGACAAAAATTAAATATGCTAGGACAAAAATTTAGAGGCGAGGTTTGATATTCTAGTAACCGAAATTTGCTTTGTTTACGTTCACAACACAACTTTGAACCAAGCATTATCATGTCTTTCGAACAACAGGAAAGCTTAAATAAATTATTACAAAGCCCAGTGGAATTGTAATCAAGACCCAACGTTTCGTTTGATTACAATTCGACTGGGCTTTGTAATCATTTATTTAAACCAGAGTAGCGAGCGAAACATGATTAATATACCTGGTTGCAGTGAACGAACAAACTTTATAACATGAAAGCTTATTGCGACCCAAGAAGTGTTATTTAAAGTCGTACTTTGTTTTAGATTTATTTTGTTGTAGTTTACACAGTTGGCAACCTTTTTAAATGTATTTTGTCTTCTGTGCAAAGCAAAAATAAAGAAAGCTATACACTTCAGGGAATATATTTTCTAATTTAAAGCGAGTCAACAAATATATTTTCTTATTTAAAGCGAGTCAACCTTACGGAATCTAATTGCTTTTAAGCAACTTTTTGCAAATTCAAATGACGATTGAAGAGTTGAATATTTTGATATTCATATTCGAATTCATGTACAGCTACATGTTATAGTTCAACATTGCAATCTATCTCGACGCAGAACGCGTCATTTGGATGCGCAGTGGACACTCTGAATACCATTATTGGATCAATATCGTACCCAGGGCTTCTGCGCAAAGGCTCTGGGTACGAGGTTGTACATTGGATATCAACGTTATTAAACAACGGCTCTACAGGGTGTCTAAAAAATCTCATTTGCCAACAAAGATGCGTTCGCACTGCTTGTTCCCAGTTGTTGACAAGTCTGGAACAAGTTGTTATCATCTTGTAACAAGGTTGATGAGGCCAACAGACTCGCAACAAGTTGTTCCAACAAGTCTGATATCGTCTGCACGTATGAGTTGTTAACAAGTTGATGACAACACTGAAGTTCGAAGCAACTTGTCACGAACAGCCTATATATATTATAGGCTTGTAGCTTGTTGGAACAACTGGTAGCAAGCCTGTTGTCGTCATCAACTTTGTAACAAGGTGATAACAACTTGTTCCAGACTTGTCAGGTAGTGATTCGCTTCATTCTATCTTCATCTGCTATGGGCTATGGTCTACTGGATAGCCGTATCCTGGGTAACACCGCCAAGATGTAGTCTGCGATAGCAGACTGATCTCAGCCAACCCCTCCTGGAGCGGCGGAAAAACAGACTGCGATCAATCCACACTAATGCCGTACAGTTACGTAAGCAGTATTTGCATAAATATTCCGCCCCCCCGTTGTGCGGGGGCAACTGTATGGCATTACCAGAGCATAATTAAAATTCAAAAACTCATTAATAATTCAGGAGGAAAACACAAAGAAAAATCATAAGCGTGTCGTGGTTTTATACAGGGTGTCTCAAAAAAACCGCTACCCTTGGAAATTCACCATTGTTCTAATTTGAATGCCTGAGTGCTATCTTGAACTCATGGGTGCATGAACAATTTGAATGGAATTTTATGCTTGAGAAGTTATTGAAAAGTTTCTGCTTTTGTTCAGCATATGACTGATTGATTTAAACGCAACAAAAATACGTAAGTTAAACAAAACGTTGTTTATTTTTACAATTATTAAGCACCTCGTCCTTCGACGTGGCCCCCATTTCTCACAACACAAAGTAATGTTCGTCTATGCATATCACGCACGGCTCGGCTAATGAGGGCAGGCTGTTGTCGTAAAGCATCAAACTCTTCGATGATTCTTTGGCGTAACGCATCAATAAAGGTTCAGGCATTCAAATTAGAACAATGGTGAATTTCTAAGGGTAGCGGGTTTTTTGAGACACCCTGTACAGTATGTGATAAAAAATCATGTTAATTTACATAAATTTTAGCTTTGATTTTCTCGGTTTGGACAAAGTTTATTTTAAAAATTACTTCGCCAATGAACTCGTATAAGATGAGTCGTTTTTGAAGCCATTTAAAGCACTTGTAGTCGTGTTTTATCACATATAATCCGCTACGCGTCGTGTTTTATATGTGATAAAAACACTCCTACGCGTGCTTTAAATAGTACTTAAATCATTTTAAGTACAACGACCCAATAAATTCCACTAGTTATCTTTATAAAGATCTTTATAAAGATGCCTATAGTCACTAATTAGTGGACTTCATTGAGTCCTTGTTTATTTATTTATTTATTTATTTATTTACTCAATTTAATGAGACATTTTGAGATTACAAAAATAGTATAAGAAGACAGATTTATATACAGAACTAATAGTTCCTTACAAGATAAACTGCGTACTTGAATATATTGTTGCTATCTTCATTTGCAAAGTAATATATTCATTTCTAGCATATCATCAACAAGCAAATAGCTGCATTAACACAATTGCGTGAATTAAATTTTTTGGCAAGGAATTTCATAGCTCACGAAATTTGCCGACGAGGTCAAGTGACCCCGATTCATTTTCACTTTGAACGTTTGTTATAAATCAATTCATGTGTATCCAATGTTTACTTCCGCATTTTACATGCAAAGACACGTCGTGTTGCTGCAAACCTCTCGTTTACATCTCTGTATTTAAACGGCTTCAGTCAGCTTTATATATCACTCCATGATCATGGCTTCACGATATCACGACGATTGGCAATCAAGTAAGAAAACAGTCTTACAAAGAAACGCGTATATGCTTGATAACGAATTGATGAGCGATGTATCTTTCACTTGTGGGGAATCAAGTCGCATATTTCATGCACACAAATACGTGCTTGCTACGAGCAGTGCTGTGTTCTTTGCCATGTTTTACGGGAATTTAGCCGAGAAAGAATCTCCCATTTGTATTCCAGACGCGGAAGAAGAAAGCTTCGAAGAGTTTCTGCGATTTCTGTACACTGACGATTGTAAAATAACCGCCGAGAACGCGATAGTTGTTAGGTATTTGGCTAAGAAGTATCTCGTTTCGTCTTTGGCGGAGAAGTGTTGTGAGATTCTGGAGGCAAGCATCAAGCCTGATAATGCCTTCGCGGTGTTGAAGCAAGCGGTGCAATTTGATGAAAAAGAGTTAGAAGAAAAGTGCTGGAATATTGTTTCGGAGAAAACTCAGGAATGCATCAACTCGGAAGCGTTCTGTAGTATCGGATCATCTACACTCAATGCTTTTTTAAAGAAAGAGACGTTCTCGATAACAGAAATGGAATTGTTCAAAGCAATATTGAAATGGACCGATAAGGAATGTGAAAGACAGGGTTTAAATATCGAATATGATAAAACAGCAAGAAGACGCATCCTCGGAGATTGTGTTTATGAAATTCCTTTCCTTGCAATGTCAGAAGAAAACTTTGTAAAATATGTCTCCCCCACTGGAATACTTACAGACACAGAAATTGTGTCCATTTCGCAAAAGCTCTATGGATTAGACGTGACAGGCTTGAAATGGAAGGAACATAAAAAGAAACAACCATGTTTTGTCAGTTTCAGTAGATTTGACCCCGCCAATGTTACCAGCAACAGTTGGAATTACATTAGAGGATATTCCGATGCTCTTACTCTGGTTGTCAATAAAGCTGTTCTCTTTCACGGTGTTCGCTTGTTTGGTTTCATTGGCGTCCTATACGAAGTGAAATTTACGATCAAGGATAAGAATCCTACACTTCAGAACAAGACAGCGACGGCGTGCCGGGTTATAACGTCATGTTACCCAATCCAATCCCTCTACTGCCAAATGAAGAGATTACAATAATTGCGACAATAACAGGACCATATTCTCACTGCGGTAACAGTGGAAAATCATCAGTGAAAATCGATGACATTGTTGTAACTTTTAAAGACGCGCCTCCTGGCTTAAGTGGTAATGAGACGAGCAAAAATCGTGGTCAGTTCTACAAGATTTTTCTTTCCGAGTTGTAGTTTTGATATTTTGTGACTTGATATAAATTAATTTAAATGCATGGCTAGCATTATATGCTGTATATGAGTCATACATTATATAATGCTATAACCATTTATGATGCTATAAAATCGAAATTAAGATATAAAATAATAATATTTAATATTTATATTGCGCAAATTAACATGTTATAGTATATGATCAAATGCGCATCACAAAACATAATTACACTAAAATTATTCTATGCTGAATGGTTACTAACTAAAAATATAAAGAAGATTATATAGATTATATATTACATGAAGAATTTCCATTAAAGGCTTCTTCAAAATAATAAGTTTTAATTAACTAATTTCTTCAAAATACTAAAGTTATGCAGATTTCTTATATACATAGGTAATTCATTCCAGATTTTTGGAGCGGAGGTTAGAAATGATCTGTCGCGGAGTGTTTTCTTCGTTTTTGTACTGTAGTCTTCAAGCAATGTGCCTTCGTTAGATCTTAGACTATAGCACGATGTCTTTCTTACTTTTAAAAGATTGACAAGATAGAGAGGTGCATACTGATGGATACATTTAAAAGCAAGCATGCATGGCAATTTAATCACTGACGTTGGATAGATGGCTTTTTTGGAGATGAAGTTTCTGAACGCAAATTTATATTCATTTTTAGACGTAACCAGCAACTGCTCCTGTTCATATCTAAACATGTCTATTAAAATTTAAAAAACTCATCTGCTGTGATCATTTGTCAACTTAATTAACGTCAATAAAATAATTTTCTTTGTAGTATTAATATGAATACTGGGTTGATATGCAAATCAGCCAATTCATAAAAGCGCCCATTGCAAGGTCTTTTTAACATATAAGCTAGGGAGACATTTGCCCTCAGGCCCCATTTACGTCTCCATGAGTCAATATCTCCCCCACCCCCAGTCAAAAGTCCCTTTTCTCTAAAATATAAGCAAAACATTGGAAAAGAAATAGAATTTAGAAGAGAGGTTTGATATTCTAGAGGGCCCCCTATACCTCTTCACAATATGCTTTCACGTAAAAATATTTTGCCTTTTCACGAGTCACGGATTAAGAAAATCATCGATCACGTTTCACGGCTAAGTAAAATAAGCCCTTCACGCTTCACGCAAAAAGTATAGGGGATTAGGGGGCCCGATCACGTTTCACGGCTAAGTAAAATAAGCCCTTCACGCTTCACGCAAAAAGTATAGGGGGCCCTCATTCTAGTAACTGAATTTTGCTTTGTAAATCTTATGTCATGTCTTTTATCTTCAAATAATTCAATGTCTTTTTAAACATGCTAAACATCAATGTTGTAAATACCTTCGATTTTGAAAAAAAAATCCCTGTGGATAGCATACCCCAGACCGTATAGATTTGAGTTGTTGGAAGGCTAGGCTAAATAAATTAGTGACCAAGTTGTGGTATTTACATAAACACAAGATTCAGTCTATCTAGTCTATCTACAGTATAATGCAATGCTGTATATCCAAAAATCTGTTTCAGAAAACGCATGAAATGCAGTACTATAGGGGTGGAAAAATCCAAATATTTTTGGGGGGAGAATCCCACCAGACCCCCTAAACAATTCCATACGACTTTTCGTCACCAACAACCATCTGTCATCTCTCCATACTCAGTATAGTATGTCCCTTTCTGTACTACTGATCTCCACCCAGACAAATTCTTGAAAAAGGCACTGTCCTATAGTGGACATGGTCTGCTATTGTTTGTCATAATGATGGCTTCGAAAAGGCAACTTGGTTAATTGACTACGTAAAAAAATCATTACTAAGTTTTTCCAGAATTGACGAAATGCTACCGAATTGTTTTGTGTAAATTTAAGCAAGATCAAAACAGAATACTAGTGTCGTTATAAAACGTGGAAAATAGAGTACGAATTTTTAGTAATAAAATAATAACCATCTGTCATCCCTCTATACTCAGTATAGTATGGTCCTTTTCTGTAGATTGCCCCTCTGACGAATTCTTGAAAAAGGCCCTGGCCTATAGTGGACTTGGCCAACTTGGTTAATTGACTACGTTAGCCTGAAAACCCTATACACATCTCTGTTACACAAGATACCATTCAAAGACGACTTTTTACCAAAAAATATTGAATGATTGCAATAATCTCTAAAAATTGTAGCAAAATTGCTAAGTTTTTTCCAAAATTGACGAGAATTCTACCGAATTGTTTTGTGTCAATTTAAGCGAGATCAAAACAGAATATTAGTGTCGTAATAAAACGTGGAAATAGAGTACGAATTTTTAATTTAGTTTGATGACTTTCATTTTTAACGTTGAAAATGGCTATTTATTTCTATACAGGATGTATCAGAAAAAACGGAGTCGTCGTAAATATCCTTATTTCTATCGTAAAATAAACTACCATAGTTTCGTTTTGGGCTCAATTTATAGCTTGTTTTTTCATCTTTCGAATGAAGGGTTTCTTGAAAATTTTGAACGAAGGCTAATCGCAATAAAAAGAATTTAGTACAAGCGCTCGTTTTTAGATGCTTCGAAATATTGATCTTCGAAGTCCCTTGGGGACTTAATTAAAGGTTGTTTGCTAAAATTTAGAACGTTGTTGTTTAAAACGTTACAATCACCATTCATAATGCCAAAGCTAACAATTCCGGAAAGAACATTCATTGTTGAAAAGTATTTCGAAACAGAAAGCGTTGTTGCAGTGTTAAGACAATTTCAAATAGCTTTTCCAGGGCGTAATCTTCATCGAGCGTTTGGGGTAATGTCAACAAATACCGGCTGCATATGCATGGAATGGAAGAACCACCCCATAAAATTTAAATCGAAATAAAGGAAATTCGGAAAGAAGACTTGTCTTGGATATGAGACAAAGAACGAACTTGTGCATGTAAACTCAGAAATGGAGGCCACGTTGAGTAAATGTGTACTTCCAACTTATTTTTTGGAACGTTTAAATAAATTGTGAATTCAACACATCTACGTTTTTTAAATTTCCAATTGCACTTACTTAAATTGACACAACTCGCCAGCAATAACTCCACATTTTATAAAATAAAGTACATAAAATAGCCGAAAGATCGCCATTTCGAACGAATGCAAGTATAAATGTCTAATTCATATTCGCTTTGAAATTTACACTTTATGTGAGGACTCCGTTTTTATTGATACACCCTGTATACATGTAAAATCTTCTCCATGCAGAATACATCATATTTTCCCAAGAATTATACAATATTCTGCGTGCTACATTTAAAAATATTTAGGCAATTGCAAGACTAGACAAAATGCTTGTGGACTACCCCTTTTCCCAATTCTACGCTTTCGTAAACAAAAACGACAGTACAGTATAATTAGTCATGTGAGTTGTCGAAAGCCAATTGAGAGATCTGGACTGCGCATCATAAAAACGCGTTCTGCTTGAGGGCCAGTAAATTGCGGTAGAATCATAACATAAAAGCATTAAATAAATGCTCTCTAAAATATCAGCAAAACATTGGAAGAAACATGAAATTTAGAGGCGAGGTTTGATATTCTAGTAACTGTAGTTTGCTTTGTTTACGTTCTCAACACAACATTAAACTAAGCATTATCACGTCTTTCAAGCAACGCGAAAGCTTATTGCGACCCAAGAAGTGTTACTTAAAGTCTACTTTGTTTTAGCTTTATTTTGTTGTAGTTTAGACAGTTGGCAACCTTTTTAAATGTATTTTGTCTTCTGTGCAAAGCAAAAATAAAGAAAGCTATACACTTCAGGGAATATATTTTCTAATTTAAAGCGAGTCAACCTTACGGAATCTAATGCTTTTAAGCAACTTTTTGCAAATTCAAATGACGATTGAAGAGTTGAATATTTTGATATTCATATTTGAATTCATGTACAGCTACATGTTATAGTTCAACACAGCAATCTATCTCGACGCAGAACGCGTCATTTGGATGCGCAGTGGGCTCTGAATACCATTATTGGATCAACATCGTACCCAGGGCTTCTGCGCAAAGGCTCTGGGAATACGAGGTTGTGTATTTGATATCAACGTTATTAACAAGCGCTCTACAGGGTGTCTAAAAAATCTCATTCACCAACAAAGATGCGTTCGCACTGCTTGTTCCCAGTTGTTGACAAGTCTGGAACAAGTTGCCATCATCTTGTAACAAGGTTGATGAAGCCAACAGACTCGCAACAAGTTGTTCCAACAAGTCTGATATCGTCTGCACGTATGAGTTGCTAACAAGTTGATGACAACACTGAAGTTCGTAGCAACTTGTCACGAACAGCCTGTATATATGATAGGCTTGTAGCTTGTTGGAACAACTCGTAGCAAGCCTGTTGCCGTCATCAACCTTGTAACAAGGTGATAACAACTTGTTCCAGACTTGTCAGGTAGTGATTCGCTTCATTCTATCTTCATCTCCTATGGGCTATGGTCTACTGGATAGCTGTATCCTGTGTAACACCGCCAAGACGTAGTCTGCGATAGCAGACTGATCTCAGCCAACCCCTCCTGGAGCGGCGGAGAAACAGTCTGCGATCAATCTGACACTAATGCCGTACAGTGAGGTAAGGTAATTAATAGCTTTATTAGCATGACCATAAATTTACAGTATTGCTAAAGCATTACAAACAATATATAGAAGAAACTAGGACTATTACAGATTACTATTTGTGGAATGATTTATAATAGACTAATACAATATTAAGAAAAATTAAGAGGAAAGAAAGAAGACAAGTATGCTATTTACAAATAAGGTGGTTATTACAACCTTTGCTAATCCGCATTCCTGGTTTCAAGGTATTTAAGTCTTTGCTTGAAACATGAATAAACAAATTTTGAAAGTTTGGTAATGATTTCACTATCAGTTGATTTCATTAGGTCCGCTGATAGAGTTTGAGAGTTTAGATTAATCTCGTCAGATGAAGCATTCTCTAATGAACTTCGAAGGTTTGCACGAGATTGCTCATAGGCTTTGCAAGAGAGGAGGAGATGGGTTTCATTTTCCACCTCTCCTGAATTGCAGATTTTACATAAACGTTCTTCACGGGGTATATTTTGATAGCGCCCGATCTCAATTTGGAGGTCATGGTTGCTGACTCTAAGTCTTGAAAGACATCTTCTTTTGTGTGGATCTTTTATAAATACTAGGTAGTTTTCGAGGTTGTGGTCCGTTTTGAACGTTGAGTAGAAAGTCAGTTTGGATGAATTTTCAAGTTTATGTTTCCAAAATGTTAAGTATTTTTCCTCAAGGGTTTTGGTAATAGTTTTAATATGTTCAGTCGTTACGGCTTCTAAATTAAGGATTTCTTCATTTAGATTTAAATTTTTGATAGTATCCATTGCATTTCCGTAAAAAGACATTTTCTGCTTGGAGTGTAGATCTTTCGAGATTAGAAAAGCTTGCTTCGCAATGGTTGTTTGGGGAAGCGAGTTTAAGTGAGTGATGTATTTGAAGACCCTTTTGAATACGTTAATGATGAGAGGGAGTTTTCCAAGCTCAGCTCTGGAGGCAATGTTACTTGCTTTCCTACTGATAGCGAGGTAAATTTTACAGAACTTAAGATGAACCTTCTCAATTGGTGATTTATCCCAATTGTTGAAATCATTTTTCACGTATGTCCCCCATACTTCCGAGTTGTATAGTAGGATAGGAGTTATAATTGAATCAAATATTTTAATGGCATATTTGGGATTGAGATGACTGAAATTGAGCTGTCTTCTTATACCGTATAGAGCATGCAAGGCTTTTTCGCTTAGTTGTTTTAGAGCTAGAGTAAAATTACCATTGTGATTTAGTTTGACTCCTAGGTAACAGTATTCCTGTACGATTTTTATGTTCCGATTTCCAAGATTAAAAATTGGTCTTGCTTTTCTTGTTTTTCTTTTTTCAAATATCATTATTTGTGTTTTCTTCAAATTTATCTCCATAAGCCATTTTTTTCTCCAACAATGGAGATCGTCTAGAGATTTTTGTAGGCCGAATTTTGATCGAGATAATAAAATTAAGTCATCGGCATATAGAAGGCAGCTCAGTTTAGTCCCATTTGGTAGTATAAACGGATCGGCAGCTGTATTATCAAATAATGTTGCTAATTCGTTTATATAGATATTAAATAAAAGGGGGCTCAAAATACACCCTTGACGCACTCCTTTGGAGTAAGAGAAAAATTCAGTTCGATTTATTTTACTTTCTTTTACGGCGCATTTAGAGCTTGAATATAGACTTTTAATAAGGTTGTAGAAATGACCATCAATTTTGTTCTCAAGTAGTTTGAAAAATAGGCCTTCGTGCCAAACAGAGCCAAAGGCTTTTTTAAAGTCCACAAAGCATGCATAGATTTTTTCGTTTTTCTGATTTATGTGTTTATCAATTATTGTTTTTAAGACGAAAATGTGGTCAGCTGTTGTGTGGCCTGACTGGAATCCGATTTGGGAGGGGTGAATTATGTTCTATCAATGCTAAATTTACTTAACCGTTGATTTAAAATAGTACAAAGGAATTTACTGAGACAGCTAGTCACACAAATTCCTCTGTCGTTATTGGGGTCAGTTTTATCTCCTGACTAACTCTGGACTTAAAAATTGGCGTAATGAGACCTTCACACCATTGATCTGGGAAATGCCCTGTTTTTAAAACGAGGTTAAAAAGTTTATGGTATAATTTAAGTAATATTTTGACGCTATGCTTCAGCATTTCGTTTTTTATCTTGTCGGAATAAACAGATTTGTTGTTTTTTAATGTCTTTGCAGCACTCAAAACTTCTGCTTCAGAAATAGGTTCATCAAGAAAATTATTTGGTGTTTTTTCTTCAAGTTTTGTTAATTTTTGTAAAATGTTATTCTGTTCTGTTTCTAATGTATGTTTAGCATGCAAGGATTGGAAATGAGTGAGCCAGCTGTTAGCTGAGACATCTGGTTTGCTCATGGAAGGGTCCCCAAAGTCATCACTCGTGTTCTTTAAGAGTTTCCAGAAGGAATTTGGGTCATTTTCAGAAACTCTTTCCAGTTCTTCTAGTTTTTTTTTCATGGAAAAGTTCTTTTTTGCGTTTTAGAGTGTTTTTATAAATCTTAAGTGTGGCATGGTATTTGTCCCTTATTTCTGTGTTAACGGGATCACGGTGTTTTTGGTTTGCGAGTCTTCTTACTGAATGTCTTTGCAGTCGACATTCTTTGTCGAACCATTTTTTATTACAGACATTGGACGCTTTATTTCTGTATTTGTTCTTTTTGATTTTCATGGATTTTTTAGCAGCATGCATAATTAAATCTTCTACTTTTGAGGCAAACAAGTTGACATCTTCCTTTGAAGGAGATGGATTGGAATTAATCAAATATTGAAGATTTTGTTGAGTTTGAAATGATTTAAGATTTTCTGTAAACTTAGTCATTGAGTCATTGTCCCATACGAATTGTTGTGGAAGCCTATGTGTTTTAGGTTGTTGCGTGTGAGTAGTCTCACTGATAGGGACATGAGTAGGAGCTCTTTTAATCCAAGTCACTAGTTGACTATGGTCAGATAGATACGTTGGTGGTTTGACAATAAAGTTTTTGATGGTTTGGGTTAGTTCTTGGCCACAAATTATGTAGTCAACCACACTTGAGCCTTTTTGGCTGTGGGAAGTTGGTTTACCAAATGAGTCACCAAGGGTTCTACCATTCAGGATTCTCAGATTGCAGTTTTTGCAAATCTCAATCAGACATTTGCCATGTTTATTAATATAGTTATCAAAACTTTCCCTCATTTTTGGTTGAAAAGAGGTTTCAGTAATATCGTTTATGAAGGTATTTCCTTCTTTTGAGACAAAATCTTCAAGTTTGCTGGTACGGGCATTAAAGTCCCCCAGCAGCATAACATTTCCTTTTTTTGAGAAATACACTACATCATTTTCCAGATCATCAAATATTTCCTCGTCAAAGTAACGTGAGTTTTGAGGAGGAATATAGACTCCACAAATAAATAAGTCCTTTGTAGAGTCTAGGATTGTGTTGTCTATTCGACACCACAAGAAATTTTTAGTTCGTTTTTCGAGAGAAATTATATTTTCAAACTCTTTTTTGAATAGAAGCGAAATTCCTCCAGACAGACGGCAACTGGAGTTTGATTTAGGGGTTGCCGTAAGTGAGGATATCGCCTTGAAACCAGGAATGCTATTAATTTCTTTAGACCATGTTTCAGTTAAAAATATCAAATCATGGTCTTTTATATTATCTATGAAGTCATTATTGCTTAGCTTATCGCCAAGAGTATAATGCTTTAAACCATTTATATTCCAAGCACTTATTGATAGCTTAGAAAACATTTCTCTGCAAGTTTTCAAATGATTGGAAAAAGGTTGACTGACCCAAAATAAATTTGGGGCATTATGTTTTGCATATTTATATTAAACTAGGTATTAGATATGATGATTAGTATGGTTAATTAGGTTATATATTGAATAATGATGTGGTAACAGTTTTATAATAGAAAAGGTATAGGTTTAACTAATTGGTACTCACAAAATCATTGGAGTAGTCCATGGAGAAAATTCATCAATTCAGCAATTTTCAGGTTGGCATTACCATTTAATGGTCTCATCATGTTGCTTGGGCTACCATTGTGTGCGCGTTGGG